ATATATATATATATATATATATATAGCTAATATTAACTAAGCAATGCTTCAGTTAGAAGAATAGCTCAAATTAGACGCTACATGAAAAAAAAATTAAAACAGTAGCTAAAATTGTCTAAATTATCCCCAATGATAAAATTACCTAAACAAATTGTACAACTAGCAAAACAGCTAGAGTTTGCAAACCAGATGCTACACAGAAAAGCTAGCAAAACAGATGTTTGTTAAACAGACTCCAAAAGTTAAAATGATCTCAACAGATGTTACATTTAGCAAAACAAATTAAAACTGGCAAATCAAATGCTACACACGTTAGCAAAACTGATGCTGGTTATAGGATATCTGTAGTTAAAAGTAGCTAAATAAGTGCTCAAGAAATCACCAAAAAGTAGCTAAATTTAGATCTAACTTGAAGCACATAGGAGCAGAATGGCAGCTGAAAGTGGGAGAACAATTGAAAAATGGTAGCTAAAAATCACAGAACGGTAGCAAGTACTAAAAGTAGCCAAATTCAGATAAATTAAAAATAAAGCTAAAAGCAACTAAACAATGCTACAACTAGCAGAATAACTAAAATTAAAATATTAATAATTAATCATCAAGATTAATAATATTAACACCAATAAGTAGCATTAATATTACTTTTTAATATCAATAATTATTAATATTAAAATAGATAATTATTAACATTAATAATTTAAAATTAATATTATTATTATTACTAGTTAATAAAAGTAATGGGTGATAATAGGTAATAGGTGCCTTTCTTGCATCCATCCATCCATCCATTTTCTTTACCCGTTTATTCCATTTTGGGTCACGGGGGTCGCTGGTGCCCATGTCCAGCAATCACTGTGCGAGGGGCGGGGGACACCCTGGACAGGTCGCAAGTCCATCACAGGGCCACATAGAGACAAACGAGACAAACAACCATTCACTCTCTCACTCACACCTAGGGACAATTTAGAGTTACCAATCAGCCTAACATGCATGTTTTTGGACTGTGGGAGGAAACCGGAGTACCCGGAGAAAACCCACGCATGCACGGAGAGAACATGCAAACTCCACCCAGAAAGGCCCCTGGACCGGCCTTTCTTGCATGTTGAACCAAAATGGCTCCATATGTTATTCAGTTTCTGTGAAGAGTTTTCTCCTATTCATTTCCTATGGGAAATTTGGCATCTTTGTTAGCAAAATATGTCGCCATGGTAACTGCGAATGCCAATAAAAGTAATTGCACAGTTCCCGAAGCCAGTTCGGTCGTTTTTATATAAATTTTGTGGGGGTCCACGTTGCGGTTCGGGCCACATTAAAGTTGAAAAAGATACGCTTTTCAGGTGTAGAATAATGAGTGGGCAGTCACCAACTAGTTCCTGGAGTTGGTGCAATATTGCGTCTTTGTTTGCAAAATATGTCACCATGGTAACTCGAAATGCCAATAAAAGTAATAGCACACATCACGGGGCCGAGCCGGTCGTTTTGATAAATCTTTTTTTGGGGTAGATGTTGTGGTTTGGGCCGCATTAACGGAGATAGAAATGTAGACTCACTTCCGAGGTGTAGAATAATAGGTGACTGCATGGCAGTCACCAACTAAGAAACCAGATGCTACACACAAAAAAAAATAAAAAAAAAATAGCAGAACAGTAGCTAAAATTATCCAAATTTACGCTAAAGCTAAAATTACCTAAACAAATTGTACAATTAGCAAAACTGCTACTCAGAAAAGTTACCAGAACCACTGTAAATATTAGCAAAACAAATTCTAATTTTACCAATACTGTAAATGCTAAAGACAAAGCAGCAAAAAAGAAGCTAAAATTAGCTAAAAGAAAATTGGAGTAGAAAGAATGCTAAAAGTAGGGAGTAGCAAAATGGTAGCTAAAAGCTAAACGTAGCACAACGATGTTGCCAATTGTTCATTTCTGGTTTTGAATTCCTCTCTTTTGCTCAAATACTTACAACGAGGAACTTGTATACAGATGTTTTTCCTATTATAGAGATAAAACTTTAGTAATTTGTTTAACCAAATAAGAAGGACAGCAAAATGACGCACTATCTGATGGGCGAGTTAGCTTAAAGCTGGTGTGCCCCGTCTTATCTTTGGATGTGGTGTGGCTGCAAACAGCAAATATCACTTTATTGACAATGTAAAACATTGAGTCTATTGCAAAGAAAGATATAAAACGAGAACATGTATTATGTTTATGTTTGACGGATGGCAGAAAAGGCTCAGTTCAAAGTGGTTTAGAGTCATCTTTATTATACTGGACTGCTGTTTTACATTTAACCAGGTGTTTTAAAGTCCATCTCAGTCTAACGTCAGTTTTTACAGCCCTAAAAGCAAAACGCTGCACTACTTTTACAGCAGGAAGTTGGCTTACAATTGATAGTTAAGCGTTCTAGTGGATGATTTACTTTGTTGTCATAAATCCGAGCCACTCTTACATAACTTGAATCAAAACATCCTATTGAAGTGACTTTCGTTCGCAGGTTTGGTGCATTCTTGAACGTTTTCCTTTGTGGGGAAAACACAATGTCGCTGTTTGTTGGTGAAAGGTCAGCGCCCACTCCGAGGTCCTGTGGCGCAGTGAGTTTGTGGGTGTACAGAACAACATCGAGTGAGGTTTTTTTTTAGTTTTTTTCCATTGATCATACTTGTTGCTTTACTGTAGCTCCTTTCACGAGCAAATTACAAGCAGCAGAAAGACAGAAATGTAGTGTTCAGGAGGAATCTGCAGCTTGGAATGCAACGACATGTCTGAACGTTATGCCGTGTGATTAGGATCGTTCGCGTGCACACGCACTCTGCTCGTTGTGTTTTAGGCCTTCTCCGTCATATATCCTCCACCACCTCCGTGTCATTTTAGCTCAAATAATTTATCCCTGCAGGAAGCAAAACATCCATCAGCACTCGTTTCCATTTCACAGACTTTATTTTCCTCCTTACAAACTCTGCTCTCTCTGAAACACGTTTAGTTTTTTTTGTTTTTTTTCAGTGGTATGTCATTCACTGTGCAGTTATTGCTGTTTTTGCTCGTCTCAAGGTTGGAGTTATCTGAAAACCAGAGGCCATCGTCAGGGAGGGAGGTAAATCAATCAATAGGCAAAAACCAGGGAACTTTACAGATAAAGGTGGTGCTGATTGAGTGAAACAGAAAGATCCGTACGCGTGATAATAGAGATTAGTCAACCACACTTCAGTCACTACATTGAACATATTTGCAGCACTTCCCCACTCTTAGCTTAGCCTTTAGCCGCTGGTTTCCCCCATCCTTCACTACACAATCACTTCCCACATGGGACCAGATGTAACCCACATCTGTCAGCTTTCATTAGCTGCATCAGTCTGGACAGCACTGTTCATCTGTAATTCATTTATTTCCCTTTTAATTTTTTTAAACTCAAATAAAAGAAGAAAAAAAACGATTTGTTAGAAGAATTCCACCTCCGAGCATTGAGTTGTATTAATAATCTGGCGGATGAGCAGTTATTACGAGACTGAAAATTGGGCATTGGTACCTGAAATACAATCTTGATGGATGTTCTAATTTTAGCGAAGATGTGGTAAATTATATTGGGATCTCAGTGGCTTCATTTCCAAGAATACAAATGAGCGCGGAAGCAGTCCACAAGGAGAAGACTCTTGTTGCCGTGAGACATTTACACTGCTCTGTGAATATCTTGTAAAATAGTTTTTCCCCCTCTTAACACAATAAAATGTAATCTATATTTGATCAGCTTGGATATTTTCCCCTCGACTTAAAATCCCAGTGATGCCAGCCTGATAAATTATTTCTGTAACTGGAATGGAAGTCTCTCTGCTTGAATGTTGGTTAAAAAGTGAAACCTTTCATTCCAGATGTTTACACTGATGTTTGATTTAGAGTAAACTGGCTGTAACAGAGAGGACGTTGTTCTGCCATCTTGTGGCAGTGCAGAGAACCCCCCCCCCCCCCTCCTGTTATCCCAGTGGACATGTGTGTGGACAATGGCAGCTGGACGGGTCCTTTCCAACATGTTTGTTTTAATTAATGTAAAGCAGACATGTTGTATGTGGGCACTTCTATATGGATGAACCCCTGATGTGTCATGAAAGCAGCCTGTGATGCGGTGCTATATTTAAACTTCCCCTGAGGTGCCATTAAATCATGAAATTTCTTCGTCAGGCCCCTTTGACCTCATTTTAATGTCCACGTAAAGCGCATTAAAAGTAATGAATTCATGTTGGAATAACAGGAGTGTTTTTAAAGCTACTGACTGCAAACTAATTCAATTCAGCTCAATTCAATTCAAAAATACTTTTATTAATCCCAAAGGGAAATTTAGTGTCGTAGCTCATCATCCTGGTTTCATTCAAGACTTGTTGTAGATGCTGATAGCTGTGGGCA